CTTTAACTAAATTAGTATAATTTCATGTAAGATTAATATTCTTGAAAGTTTTTATTATAATCAAATATATATCTTTTAGAAAGTTTTTACATCTATTATTCAAATATTTATACATTAAACTTATAACCGATTTAAAAATAGTATTGCAAAAAAAAAAATTACTTTGTGCTAACTAATATAAAAAATCATACATTACAACACTTCTTAAAGTTAATTATCATAATAACTTGTTTAAAGATAATCTTAATTGTGTTTTACAAATTAAACCCTTACATTATTATCAGTAATGAATATGATTTAAGTTAAAAAATAAAAGAGATAAAATACATAATAAGAAATTAATATACACTCTTAATAAAATTAAGAATATATATTATACTCTATAATATTATGTACATATAAAAAGACTAATAAAGTTCTTTTCTAAATTAGTGTGGATTTAACTAATCAAGTCTATAATAAGTAAGAATAACTAACACTATATTTAAGTAATATGATTATTAAAGTTACTATTAAGTTCTAAAATTCTTTAAGATAACAAAGAAATGCAAAGTAAAAAATATTATCCGATAATAATAAAAATCATAAAGAAATATGTTATTTTTCGTCATAATATATTTGTCTTACATGAAAAAAAGTTAGAAATATAAAAAGAATATATTATTTTATAAATTTATTCTTATTAAAATAAATTATTATAATTTTATGTTTATAATTTTAATATATATATATATATATATATATATATAATTATGATTTTAATAAAATATTATAAATATAAACAATTTATAAAAATTGAGTGAATAATTTAATATATATTTTTACAATATGATATTATTTTATAAATTTATTCTTATTAAAATAAATTATTATAATTTTATGTTTATAATTTAAATAAATATATATATATATATAATTATGACCTTATTAAAATAAATTATTATAATTTTATGTTTATAATTTAAATATATATATATATATAATTATGATTTTAATAAAATATTATAAATTTAAAATTTATAAAAATTGAATGAATAATTTAATATATATTTTTACGCTATGATATTATTTTATTAATTTAAATTTCATTATTTTTAGAATAAAATTTTAATTATATATTAAAATTAGATATTAATTTAAAAATTAACTAGTTATTATATAAATAATTTTATAATCAAACAAATATTTATTTTTAATTAATTTATTAATTATTGTTTTAAATTAACACTTTTCTTTTTTTATAAAACTTTTATCTCAAACAAACTAGTATATTTTCTACTCCATTTATCTTTTTTTTCATATTTTATTTTTTTTATTAATATTAAAATTATCACTTCTCAACAAATTAATGACTATCATATTTTTTGTTGGTCCTTTTGTCTTGTTCAAATAAAACACTCCTAAAAAGCTTATACGCGCTTATCTATTAATTCACACTCGATCTGTGGTTTTATTTCTATTATTTATTTTTCGCATTGCGTGTTTTTTTTTTCTCTTTTTTAATTAATATTAATAATTTATATTTTATTATTATTATTATTATTATTATTATTATTATTATTATTATTTCAACTCAATGATAAATCTAAACTATTTTCCAATTTCATAAGGTTAAATATTATTTCACTTTAAAGATATTGATATTATATTAATTAAATTCAAGAGACTTGACTGTGAATAAAATAAGTATATATTAAGATTAATATATAATTAATATTTTTTAAAAATTGTCAACATTTGAGTGATGTCCAAATTTACTTTTAATTTAAGAATTAACAAAATAGTAATCATACAGTTAATATTGGTATGACTGGTAGTTGAAAATTATATTTACCTAATCATAAGTAATAGATGGTAGATTTTAAAGACAAAGCATTTCAGTCATAACATTTTATAACATGTAATAATGAATGTTTTTAAAATTAGATATGTTATTTCACCAGTAAAAATATGAAAAGAGGTTTAAAGATTTAATCGAGATTTAATTAGGATCGAACCAAATTAAATAAAATAATATTTTTATAATATAATAAATTTATTAATAATAAATTTTTTATAAAAGAAAAAAAAATAAAAACTTTTATAAAAAAATTGATCTTATTATTTTTTATAAAAACTGATCCGATAAAAAATTCTAACCAAAATTTTCAGTTCTCCTAATTTAATTAAAATTTAGTTATTTAAAAATAATAGATTAAATTTTACATTAATTTGCAACTAGAATGGTTCAACCAATTAGTTTGATCAATTTTTCAAAATAATAATAATAACGTTTATAAAATATTAGAAAGCTTCAACTTGAAAAAAAATAAAAAAAAAATTAAAATATAAAATTGATTCTACGATTTTGTTTTTCTCTAATCGTTACCTTTCTTTCTATTATTTTGGAAGTAGTTATTTCAACTTCAATTATTTAAATTTTTGATATTTTTTTTATTTCTCATCAAACGGAACCACGTATTCTTTTGGAAGTTTTTGCTATTTTTATATGATATTAAGAAATCGGATTGCTATTATCCAAACAAACCTGGAATGTTTGTTTACTTGTTAGTTCATAGGTCGGATAACTTATGTGCTGATTTATTTCTAGATAAATCTAGAAACTTTTGCTCCTTTTCTGAATTGGGCCGGATACTATTTACCCATATATTTTTTCTTTCCATTTTATTATGGGTTTAGTGATTCAAAGAGATTTCTATTTGCATTCCTCTTATTTCTAATACACTATTCTCTCATAATTATTGGATAAGTAACCATATCAACTACTGAATAATTGTTTTTTTTTTTTTATGGTATAAATAGAGTGTAAAAGGGAAAAACTTATTTGAGTTAGAAGCTTAGCATTAATTATATTTGTTTTTACATATCTAACTTAATAAATTTCCATAATTAAAATTAATTATTTAATTTTCATGCTAATTTACACTTTAATAATTTAGTTGTTGGATATAAATATAACAATTTATGAAGTAAATTTAAAATTTTACTCATATACTAACTATTTTTTATAATAAATTAATATTAATATAAAATTTAGTCTATTTATAAGTAAAATTTTATCACATTATAGATTATTATAGTTAAAATAAATAAATAAAATTCTATAATAATTTGAATGATTAAATTGTTACTCATCAAATTGTAATGCTTTTGATCATTCTTATCTGAGAACTAAACTTAAAGCATTATATGAGCTAAACATAATGTAGAAACAACACAACAGTTGTTGAAGGCTGTTCATTAAATTACACAAAAATAAGATACAATATATTTAGCATTTGAAAAAAATAAAATAAAATAATATATATATATATATATATATATATATATATATTTTTGAATAAGTTATTATGTACACTCTAATTTTAATTTTAGTTTGATTGAATGGATTTCTCTAATAAAAATTAAATTAAGCGAATCAATTTTAAAATTTATTGATTTAAGAAAATTTAATTAGTCGTTTTTTTCAAATTAGTTTTCAATTTTATTTATAAATTGATTTCGTTTTAAATATTAAACTCTAAAAGTTCATTAGTATATATATAAGTGGGGTTAATGAAAATTTAAACTTCAAATAGAAAAGAAATATTTGTATTACTTTTTATAATAAGAGAAAAAATGATTTTAATATATAAAATAAAAAATCAACTCAACCTAATTATATATTTATAATTAAATACTTATTTATAAAAATTAAAGATATTATAATTTACTCTATCATTCAATTACACATTATATACGTTTGATTGTTTTCATAATAATTATTATAAAACTAAAATAGTAATTATTTTTAATTAGATAATGTTTATTTATTAAATCACTCTACTTTATCAACTACCACATTTTTCACAGGTGAAGCTTTTTGAAGAAGATATTTTTGTAACATAAATTATATAATTCTTTATGATGCATACAACTTTTAATTTGAATGGTTGGTGAATCATTATTTTACATAAAAAATATAGAATAAAAAAATATCCATTTGAATCTTTTATCATTTAAAGTTAACATGAATGTTATATTCATTTTTATTTTAATATTATATATTAAATGAAAAACATAATAAATGGTTAAAATTTATCAACACGACTTATATTATTTATTCGTGATCATAGTTTGAAAATAGGTTTGAACAACTTGGATTTAGTTAGCTCTTAATTATTTGGACAAATTTTTCTAAAAGAATTTCTATAAAAAGATTTTTGTTTAAATTAAAATTAATTTATATACCATTTAAAAAATAAAAATTAGAGAAATTATATGAAATATTTTCTAAAACTTAATTTATGCATAAATTAATTAATTTAAGAAAAAGTTAATTTTAATTGTTTATTTTTTCTTAAAATATTTATAAAGAAACACGTATAGACAAAATAATTGGTTGCACTTATTTGTCTCTAGACAGTTCTATGGTCTATTTATTTAAATTAAACAAATGACTTACAACATTTTTTAAAAGCTTGATGTTTTAATTTCTAAAAAGTACTTGAATATTTTTTTATGTTTTTTTTTAATTTTTATTTTGAAAGTTTTGGATTTTTAAACCATTCTTTTGTTAAGTAAATAAAAAGATTCCTAAAGTGACAAAAGAAGTTTGTTTTTCTTATTTTGTTTTTTCTATTTTCTTCACAATCTTGCAGCAATAAATTTGCCAAATATGAGTGGTGGAGGGTGAAGGTGCAACTCAAACCTCAAATACCAGAGTTACGAGAAGCCTCCATTTTGTTCTTAAACAAAGTCCACAACACTCAAAAACCACATTCCAAAACCAAGGTGTCCATGTCACCAAAATAATACCGCAGTACTTCCAACCCACTTGTGTCTGGCCGTTGATAAATTCTTGAGCCAATCCACAGATTTTCCTGTTACTTTTTTCACACTCATCACACTATATAAATTACCCTCTCACCTCTCTCTTTCCCTCGTTCTATCCAACCAAACACTTTGAAACACTCACTTCTGTGTTGTCTTCTTCCCCTTCAACACTCCAATAGCACACAATGGCAGCCTCAGTGCCAACAGTTGGAGCCGTTAACTTAGCACCGGTACCATGTTTATCTCACTCTAAACTCTTCAAATTTTCGTGTCATTGTTACAACATGTTTTTGTTTCACTTGTAGTAATGTTGGTCCATGTTTTTAGCAGTCTACTACATAGTACAGACATGCCAACATAAATATGCATGATGCAATGACCAATCATAATATGTACTTATTTGTATGAGAAGGTCCACTGGGGTAGATTGTGAACTTAATACTATATATATATAAACATGGGGGTTCTTTAGAATTTTGACGGTCAAATATATATTTGATTTGTTTTTTTTTTATCTGGGTCTGTTCCAATTTTTTGTGAGGGATGAATCTTGCTATTCAATTTGGAGTTCATGGCTCATTGGGATTATATTTGGTGCAGTTGAAACTGAATGGCTCTAGCAGTGGAGTGACATGCTCGGCATTCTTTGGAACCAGTTTGAAGAAAATCATTTCTCTGAGTTCTAGCCAGAAGAGTGTGTGTGGGAATTTCAAGGTTTCTGCACAGATTGAATATGATGAGGAGAAGCAGACTTCGAAGGATAGATGGGGGGGACTTGCTTATGACACTTCAGATGACCAGCAGGATATCACTAGAGGGAAGGGAATGGTGGACTCTCTTCCAAGCTCCCATGGAAAGTGGCACTCACTATGCTGTCATGAGTTCCTATGAATACATCAGTGCTGGTCTTCGCCAGTAAGTTGTTGGTTTGAACTTAATTTAGCCAACAAGAGTTGTAACATTCTGTTTGGATTGTTTGCATTCTGTGACCTTGTTGAATGTTAATGGACTTATTTTCAGGTACAATTTGGACAACACCATGGATGGCTTCTATATTGCTCCTGCATTTATGGACAAAATTGTTGTTCACATCACCAAGAACTTTTTAACCTTGCCTAATATCAAGGTTCCTCTTATTTTGGGTATTTGGGGAGGCAAAGGTCAGGGGAAATCATTCCAATGTGAGCTTGTCTTTGCCAAGATGGGAATCAAGTAAGTATAATTCCATTCCAATATGTATTACCCCATTTGGTTTAGACTAAGGGTGTGTTCAGCTTATATGGTTTTCAAACCATGGTTTGGCCTAATGGAAAAACAATTTAATTTTTCCACCTTTACTCAATCTATGGTTTGGAATCTGTTGGGAATCTAGGGTAACTCTTTGCCTTGCTGGAAGCAAGTTCGGGTTAAGGATTCCTATTTTGATTTGACTTTCAGAAAATCTATTCCGGACTCGACTATGCTTCCTTAGAAGCAAGGTTGGCTTAAGGATCTCAGAACAACCAAAATCATGTTCAAATACAACTCAATTGGAACTTTGCAATGTAAAAATGTTATTTGTGCATGAAACTCAATATTCACTCTCCAAACCATGGTTTGGGACATACAAAATTACAAACTACAATTCAAAACTGCATTAACTCTTAGGTCTATTGGCTTTCAATGCAGCCCCATAATGATGAGTGCTGGAGAATTGGAGAGTGGAAATGCTGGAGAGCCTGCAAAGTTGATTAGGCAAAGGTACCGTGAGGCAGCAGACATTATCAGAAAAGGAAAGATGTGCTGTCTCTTCATCAATGATCTTGATGCTGGAGCTGGTAGGCTTGGTGGAACCACACAGTACACAGTCAACAACCAGATGGTGAATGCAACACTCATGAACATTGCTGACAACCCAACCAATGTCCAACTTCCTGGCATGTACAACAAGGAGGAGAATCCCCGTGTTCCAATCATAGTCACTGGCAATGACTTCTCAACATTGTATGCTCCTCTCATTCGTGATGGACGTATGGAGAAATTCTATTGGGCACCTACTCGAGATGACAGGATTGGTGTCTGCCAAGGCATTTTCAGAACAGATGGTGTCCCAAAGGAGGACATTGTCAAGCTTGTTGACACCTTCCCTGGACAATCTATTGGTAAGCCATACCTCAATTCAAATTTCAAGCTAAAACTAACTATATAGGATTATATATGTTTTTATCCCTTAAATATAAATCCTTTTTTGGTGTTAGTTTTTTCTCAAGTTTTATTCAATTTTAGTCCCCACATTTAAAAAAGCAATCTGTTTTTAGCCCCTTACTGTTGACTACAATCTGATGACTTTTGTAATTGTTAAGAACAAGAACCAATAAAAATTCAAAAGGGACTAGTTAGGAAGAATGTTATGTGTGCGAATCAGAAACATATTTAAACCAAAATTTTATTTGCTAGTAACTTATCTTCAGTTGCCATAGATGATCTAATGTTCTTGCATAGGATCTCAGTTTTGCATAATAATGTGGTATCATATTATGTGATGAAATGTGAATAAGGAACAGTTTGATGCATTTCTGTGCAGACTTCTTTGGTGCCTTGAGGGCCAGAGTGTATGACGATGAAGTAAGAAAGTGGATTTGTGGTGTGGGGGTGGAGAATATTGGGAAAAGACTGGTGAATTCAAAGGAGGGACCTCCAACTTTTGAGCAACCAAAGATGTCTCTTAGCAAGCTCCTTGAGTATGGAAACATGCTTGTTCAAGAGCAAGAGAATGTGAAGAGAGTTCAATTGGCTGACAAATACCTCAATGAGGCTGCACTTGGAGATGCAAATGAAGATGCCATGAAGACTGGAAACTTCTATGGTCAGACCTTTGATCCTAATGCCCTTGATGATAAAACTGTTTCTAGCTTCAGGACTATGGTGGAATAACAATTTAGGATGAACGAGACCAAATAAAAGTTGCCAAAATTGTTTGGTTGCAGGACAAGGAGCTCAGCAAGTTCATGTTCCTGTTCCTGAAGGTTGCACTGACCCTGCTGCACAAAACTATGATCCAACAGCCAGAAGTGATGATGGAAGTTGCACATACACATTTTAGGTGATTCTTAGGTAATTTTAGCAGATATAAGTAGAGATTTGAAACAAAAGAATAAAGAATGTTACTATGTTTTTCACTTACCATTCTCTTGTTTTTACTGGTGTAACTCTTTGTGTTGGGTTTTATGGCTGACAATGAAACATCTAATAGTTGAAAATTCAAATTTAAGGTATTACAGAGCATGCCTTATACTTAATTTTTTATTACAACTCTTATTAATATTATTTAAAATAACTATTAAAACATTTTTTAATATTTATTAAGTATTATTTGAAATAAGTACTTAAGAATTTAAGTAGTACAATTAAAACTGTCAAAATGAAATTTGACAACCTTTTAAAAAAATAATCTGATATAATAATATAATAATAAAATTTATTATTATTACTCTTAAAATCATATTTCAAATCGTATCACGACAATATTACTAATAAAAAGCAGCAAAATCGCATAATCAATAGGCTGCATAATGATTAATTAAATTATAAATAAATATAATTTCTCTGGTACTTTTTAGTAATTGTGTATTCTTCTATTAATTTGATATTTTTTTTATTAGAAAGAAATTATATTTATATAAAAATTGTTTATAAATTACTTACTATTGTTTATTAATACTGTAATGGCGTTAAAAAGTTATATAAATACTAAAACATATTTGGTTGCGTAATAAATAAAATAAAAATAGTATAAGTGTGAATAAAATCATATATAATTGTAAGATAACATATATTTTTATATAAATAAAAAAATGAAAAAATAATAAAAAATATAAATTCTTAAATATTTCTTAATCGTGATAAATTCACAAATTTTGAGTTGTTTCTCATAAATAGATTTTACATGATAACAAGAAATTTTATTACATCTCTGTTATTAAATTTCGTTATTTTAGTATGAATGTCATTAATTTTAACTCAAAATAATTTTTAGTTCTTAATAATTTTTTCTAATAAATTCATTAATTTAATGTTTGATTTCTTATAATTTTTTATTTTATTATAATCTTTGATTAAAAATTAATTTAACCTAATAAACTATTATATCAAATGTTTTAGATTAGGTTTGTTTTGTTTTAATAAAAGATAAAAATGTTTTGGTCAACTTATCGTGCATTAATTGATTAATTTATTTTGTTTGGTCAAAAGAAAGATTAAAAAATTTAGAAAAAGAAAAAGAAAAAGAAAAAAAGTATGTTCTACAGTATAATATTCCCAAATAACACGTGTTCATTATCACAATCTCATCGTTTAGCTATTAATTTATCAATGAGGAATTTTTGTTAATTTATTTGACGTTTTAATATTGGCGTTCGTTAGTGTTTATGATTGAATCAATTCGATAAATTTAAAATTAATCAAATAAATTGGTTCAAATTTTTAGTTTAATAAAATCAATCCAAAATTAAAGCAATCGAAGTTAATAACGAGGGATGTAGTTATTTTATTTGTGATTTATAAAGTGAGAGAACCTGAAATAAGTCATTTTCTAAATGCAAGATTATCTGATGTTGGTATTATATTATGAGGAACTTGTAAAATAAAATAAAATTGAATAATACATATTTATCCACATATAAGAGAGAAGTTTAGAACCTCTTATATATTAACCTTAGAAGAGTGTATTTGGCCTCCTTATTCTTTTGAGTGTCATTTTTCACAAAAATCAACAGAAAATAATGAAATCGAAAACTGAAGAATCCATAAAAATAATGAAGACATAACAGGTTGGTTCTTTTGAGTTTCCAATGAGCACAAGGATAGATGCATATCACATGTGTGCTCCACTTTCATGCATGCATCATGTTACTGTTTCATCCATGTGCACAACAAAGCCACACATCGATTTCATTTGCTGAGAAATCTACTATTTTGTTAAATATAATATTTTTAAGTGATTTAGCAAAAATATTTTTCTCATTAATTTATTTAATTTTTCGTTTACTTTTTATTGTTTTTTTATGGAAATAGGTCTTGTTAACTCTTGTCCAAATATAAGCATTGAAAAGATTTTTTTTATTGCAAATGATACCAAAGCATTAAATAAATACAGAAACAAAAAGATGTTTATACCTTCTAATAAAATATATATTTTTTAATTTTTTATGGCTTAGTGGTCTGAAAAAAATAATCTCCAGTCTCAAATAAAAATAAGAGATCCTAAATTATCAATTAAGTCCCTAATCAGTATTATACCCTGTAGAGCACTCATTCTCAAGTTCTTCACCAACTCCTTCAAAAATGAGAAAAATGTGCCTTTGTTTCTATTATGCCACCTTTTTTCCTCAACACATTTTATTCTGTTCATAGCAATTAATATTTTGGACCCTCAAGGCTCAAGCTGTTGTAATCATTCAAAATCCTTGATTTTCCACATCTTGTCTCATGGCCACCCTCAACATGTTCCTCAGACTCTTGTCTTTGTTGTTGTTCCTTCTGATCCCAGTTTCATCTCAGCCTAACCAGATCTTCTATGCTGGATTCAAGGGTGTGGATGGCAATAATATGACCCTTGATGGGGTGGCAGAAATAGAGCCAAATGGGGTACTGAAACTCACTAATGATTCAAGTAAAGTAATGGGTCATGCTTTTTATCCAACTGCTTTTAAGTTCAAGAACCCTAGTGATGGTAAAGCTTTCTCCTTTTCTTCTTGTTTTGCCTTGGTTATTGTTCCTGAGTTTCCAAAGCTAGGAGGGCATGGCCTTGCTTTTACAATTGCAACATCTAAGGATCTGAAGGCTCTTCCAAGCCAGTATCTTGGTCTTCTTGACTCAAGTGACATTGGGAACTTCTCCACCCACCTCTTTGCTGTTGAGTTTGACACAGCCCGAGATTTTGAGTTTGGGGACATCAATGACAACCATGTTGGAATTGACATTAATAGCTTGGCCTCCAATGCTTCTGCACCTGCTGGTTACTACACTGGGGATCATGATTCAGCCAAACATAATCTCACACTTCAAAGTGGGCAACCCATTCTAGTTTGGGTTGATTATGACTCTGCTCAAAGTGTTGTTAATGTCACAATTTCTGCATCCTCTACCAAACCCAGAAGGCCACTCTTGTCCTTTCCTGTGGATCTTTCACCAATCCTTAAGGATTTCATGTATGTTGGGTTCTCTGCATCAACAGGGTTACTTGCTAGCTCCCATTATATCTTGGGTTGGAGCTTCAAAGTCAATGGGCCAGCTCCACCCCTTGATCTCTCTTCCCTCCCACAGCTTCCAGGGCCAAAGAGGAAACTCACATCTTTGATAATTGGGTTTTCAGTCTCTGGTGTTGTTCTTGCGTTGTTTGCTGTTTTACTTGGCTTCTACATGTATAGAAGGTACAAAAATGCTGATGTTATAGAAGCTTGGGAGCTTGAGATTGGGCCACACAGGTATTCCTACCAAGAGCTCAAGAAAGCAACAAAAGGTTTCAAGGACAAAGAGCTGCTTGGACAAGGTGGATTTGGGAGCGTCTACAAAGGAACATTGCCAAATTCCAATACCCAAGTTGCTGTTAAGAGAATTTCACATGACTCCCGACAAGGCCTGAGAGAATTTGTATCAGAAATAGCCAGCATAGGCCGGCTTCGCCACCGGAATCTGGTTCAGCTGCTGGGGTGGTGTCGCCGCCGTGGTGATCTCCTCCTTGTGTATGATTTCATGGCTAACGGGAGCTTAGACAAGTACTTGTTTGATGAGCCAGAAACAATCCTAAGTTGGGAACAAAGATTTAAGGTCATCAAGGATGTTGCTTCTGCCCTTTTGTATCTGCATGAGGGCTATGAGCAGGTGGTGATACATAGAGATGTGAAGGCTAGCAATGTGCTGCTTGATGGTGAACTCAATGGAAGGCTAGGAGATTTTGGATTAGCCAGGTTGTATGAACACGGGGCTAACCCAAGTACCACAAGGGTAGTTGGGACCTTAGGCTATTTGGCACCTGAAGTGCCTAGGACAGGGAAAGCCACTCCTAGCTCAGATGTTTTTGCATTTGGTGCACTTTTACTTGAGGTGGCATGTGGGCTTAGACCACTTGATCCAAAGGCAATGCCAGAAGATTTGGTTTTGGTTGATTGTGTGTGGAACAAGTACAAACAAGGAAGAATACTTGATGTGGTGGACCCTAGACTACATGGTGCTTTCAATAAAAGAGAGGTGCTCATGGTGTTGAAATTGGGGCTTCTGTGTTCAAATGGCTCTCCCACTGCTAGGCCTAGCATGAGACAGGTGGTGAGGTTTTTGGATGGAGATGTTAGTGTGCCAGATGAGTTGAAAAAGCCAGGAGAAACAGGTTCCCAGGAGGGTTTTGATGAATTCTTGCACTTGCTTGAATCTTCTTCGTTCGATCAGATGAGCAGAAGTTCCTATGATAGAAGTAGATACATGAGTGGCAGTTTTACTGATACATCTCTTTTTACTCCCCATGGTAAAAAAGAAACAATATGATTATCTCCACTGTACTAAGATATTTGTTTATTTTGAGATATTTGTTTATTTTGCCATCCCTTATGTCTCACAATTTTAGAGAGAAAGTTCTTGTAACGATGAATGAAATCCCAATACAGGAAGTCTGTATTGTAATTCTATTCCCCCACTGGCATCCATTTTCTGGATTCATATAACATCTCCCTTCATGTTGTACAATTTTGCTTCGGCGTTTTGTTGTTGTACCTAAGAATTGATGAAAAAAACACCTTGAGATGCATGAGTTGAGTTACATCGTTAGAGGTTTAGTTTGATACTTAACTATGAACAGATCAGAGAAACAAACTTTGTAGTGTACTGATATATTTCATTTTAGTCTCTGAACATCACCAAAGGATTGAAGTATTCTAATTTATTGTTTTTCTCATCCATCATCAAAGTCTATGAAAAATAATATTTGATTTGATGTCCATGAAGTTAAAAGTAAATATATTTTTTTTACATATAAGTCAAAGCTATTTTCATTAACTTCCATTTTTTTATATTCAAACATGCACAAATTCTAACTTTTTTAACTAACGTTTGGTTTCTAAGTCTATATTTTTACTGATATTTATACATAAACTAATTTTGCTTTGTAATTATTTTTAATTATAAATCCTTGTGAAAATGTAAAGATACCCTTAATCTTTAAATGTTACATAATAATGACAAATAGAACATCAAAATGTTGAAGCACAAAGAGACGTAACTATGTACTTTACTCATTCAAATGTTGGTTTTAAGACTAAATTGACATTGACTTAGGACAAAAATGACATTTATTTATCTGTTATTAAGCAAAAAACAACATAAATGGTCATCTTTATATAAATTTTAAATATATATTTTCAGAAAATGTGTAAAGATTAGACTTTTAGGAACCAAAACTTAAAAAGCTGGTAAAGACCAATTATAGAAAGTAAAGGCCATTCATTTCCATCGGCGTTTACTAAAACCGTTTGCAAGTCAAATAAGCAAGACTTCCCTTCCTCACCTTATTGACTTCAGTTCATTTGAAAATAGAGATAGAGAAAGTTTAATATAAAATTTTCAATACTTATTAATTTTTTCAGTTAATTTAAAAATAAAAATAGAGGAATTTTGATATAAAGTTTTCAACGCAAAGATAATGAAAAAGAAAGAAAAAGTCGGATAAAAAATGTGAAAGAGAAAAAAAAAAAATTATGGATTATCATAATTATCTATTGGTTCCTTTTATAATGTGTTTACGTTTTTTTTTTTCTATAATAACGAATCATTTAAAAATTATGTTAAGTGGAGTTATGTATTGTTGAAAGTCCTACATCGCCTACCTCATGTCATTTGTTATGGTTTAAATACATATTAGGCTACTCCACATATTGCCAATTGGTTTTATGTTGGAACCTTAACATGATAGCAGAATCAAAGCCTACATCTTTCCGGATATTGTCATGGGCCAAAAGTTACCCTTTAGTTGGGTCAAAAGTACAATTTGCCTGGTCCGGCAGACCTCGTTGGAGGGAGCATGTTAAAAGTCCCACATCACCTACCTCATATCATTTTGTATAGTTTAAATACATGTTAGACTACTCCATATATTACCAATGTTGAAATCTTAACATGTATAAATAAATTTTCATTTTTAAAATTTTATTTAACATTGTTATTTTAAAAATATTTTTATCTTCAAATTTAGCTATCATTCTCAATAAATATAATTAAACATAATTTAAAATAAAAATATTAAATAAACTTAAATATTATTTTTAATAAGTGGGTAAGTAACTTGGCTGCCTTGCACGTTACAAAGTTGTCAACTCCTTTAATTTGATTGGTTGAAAAATTGGTGTTAGGGCAGTTTCTTGTTGGAGACACTTATGTTGTAATTGATGTGGCTCACACCTTACAGCCATGATTGCTTTGAACAAGATTTAACATTTTTAAATGGGAACACAATTAATATTGAACAGCAATGAAGTTTGTTTCTCTCTTTTTGTAAAGACTAAATTTCAAGTATCCCTTACATTAATTTTGCAATTGTGCTACTAGAGATCATATGCTGCAAACCAAGTGGAGAACACATTCATAGATTACACATATTGCTTTAGCCAAGGAAAGCTACATTGATGGAAGCAATATTGATTCTTACAATTTCTGATGTTCTTGTGCTGTTTCAAGTGAAAAAAAATAGACACAAGAAAATTCATATCCTATAACAGATGGTGATAAGGATAAGACCAATGACAATTATCAAGAAAATAAACACCAATAAATTCATTGTACACAGTTAAACACTATTGAAAGAAAAATTGGATAAGATAGACCCACATATATCAGTAAATAAGTTAATGAAGTTGATATCGAACCATCTTTAAGACACTGCCAAAAGTCCAAATCTGATGAGTATGCAAAATTAATGATGTTCACATGATCCTTAGTCTACATCTTCAAAGCAGCCCTTGCCATGGCCAAGGCACCACCAAAGTTTTGGTTTCCACCAATAAATCCACTCATATGCACAAAAACACAGCCTGGAATGCCAGCCTCTTTGGACAATTCTTCATCCCTTAACCCTCGCCACTGTGAGGGTAGAGCCTTTCGGCTCTCAAAACTGTCAGGAGATACTGCAACTGCCTGCACTCTCCATTGTTTGCTTCTTTCATCCTGTAAATGACATCGAGAAAGGTGATGTCGAGAAATCAGTTAATGTGTAACAAAACCTTGACCAGATATATGATCAATCCACCTTAATAGGTAAGCAAGTTCTGCTCATGGTGATATAGGGACTCAAGTATTCTATCAGCATGACCTCAATAATTACAAATGCAATATAATTAGAAATTGATATTGTAGCCCAAATAGGGTCCAGTGAAGGCTAACTACAAGTTAAAACAGTTAAACAAAAACTCAATTCACCCACTTTACATGGAATAACCAACTTATCAATTCTGAATTTAACTGACATTTTCTAGTCCAAAACAAATAATGTAAAATGTAATAATGTATAATGTGAAGTTATGTTATCCGAACCAAACTGGACTAGCCAATTCAACCGACTGTGAGCAGGTCTAGTGTGGACTTGCTTGATCCATTATCGTGGCTTTGATTGAACCGGTAAAAAACTGGAAAAATCAGTCAAAACTGATTCACAACAGCTCAACCAACAACACTTTAAAAATAATAGATGTTATTTTGATTTTTATGCTTAAAAAAAAGTGAAGTATTTGACATTTTCTTTTCAAGAAAATTGTTATTTTCAAAGAATATTATAGTTGTATTGTTAAACTGTAAACGTATGTATTATGAAATATTTGATTTTTATGCATATTTTGAATGTTAAAATCTTATAAAATGTGTTATTTTAGATTTTAGTATCACCATAACATGATAATAATCATTTTTTATATATTTTTTAATTATTAGTATTATTTTATTAATATTAGTTTACCCACCAGTGAACCACCTTGAACTTGCTGCCTTGACAGGTTCAATTACAGTCCAGTCTTCAAAATATAGATGTGAAGAACCTTTCTAAATAAAAAATTATACGCTCAAACTAGGAAAAAAAATTCTAATGGAATTTTTTAATACATTGAACAAGAGATGTATGATTTACCAAAAATAAATGCATACATGTATGTGTGTCAATAATGATCTAGTCCAAGCCTTTAAGTTCAATATCTTTCTTGGCCTTTGCCTTTGTATGAATTATCTCCTTACTGACAATTTAAAAAATGATGCCTATGTAGGAAAAAGGTCATCAAAATAGGAAACATTCTATACATATTTTTCATGAACTTTAATTTCAAGTTCATAAGGGTTAAAATTCTTATTTTTCTAATTGTGTTACATTTGAGAAAAGTCATTCTCCCATTTTTGAGATGTCATATCAAGGTGTACACTTTTTGTAATGCATTTAGAGAAATTGAGAAAAGTAATGTAAATTTTATTAAACTGCAAATATAAATCAATTATACACTAAGAGCTATTGAGTTCAGTTAATTATAGAAGAATAGCTTGTGCTACAAGCTAACCGAAGTCCAACTACAGCAGTCATATGGCTAACTCTCACTATGTGCGTACTCAGCAATTTAAATATACAAGCATACTCTATTATTTTTCCTTCAAAGCTCAGAATGCAGTGAAGTTGAAACAAACTAAGCACCGAGTTTGTCTCAGAGAAGAGAAGTGCAGCTTGCAGAGTGACTTGGTGAGGACATCAGCAATAGAGGCCACGAGCCACTCTGCTGTTGTCATACCAGATTGATAAATAACTTTGCTTTATCCTGATTTTTATAAAAAATTGCTATTCTGCAAATTTGCCTGCCTAGGCATCATACTCAGAAACATGCAGCCTAGAATGACAGCATTACCATGATTTAATTAATTCTACCATTTTAAATTATTATTATTATTGACCTATATTTATGTGTGTAGCAGGCTAACAGTAATGTCTCAAAATATGGGCTTTAGAGTTCAAACCAAGGTAGTTCTTTAATGTTTAGTTCGATCTCCTTCCCCCATTTCTTAAACCATACTTTTGGCCTAATTAAACCTTCAAATGGACCTTAACATCAGGCTAGAGGTTTGAATGTTTACAAAATAGCCTTTTGTTATTATTCTGAACTGGTTGTTGAAATTTTGCTGCCAACCAAGTATGTTGATTACAAGAGATGAGAGTCTGAGCTCCATCAAACCAAAACAAAATCAATAAAAGCATAACTTATATTTAACAGTCAGTCTAAAAGATAAACAACCATCTGAAATTATGTTGTGAGACTCATCGAGGACTAGAAGCATAGAATGGAACCCTTGAAAATAAACAAATACCTGATACAGAACATATTTGATTGGAGGGTCTATTTTCAACTCCCCCTCAAGCTCGAATAAGTGAAGCTTCCACTGCAGAAAACAAGACCAAATTAACAATTTCTGACAATACTAAGAATACCATGTAGCTAATACTCAGGGATAATAAAGAACCGGAGGAATTGAGGTATTTTCAGAAGACACTTCCTACATAACTAAACATCCCCCAAAGATAACTATTCTAGACCATAACCAGCAGCTTGTTCATGGTTTTTATACAACCTATAATAATTTTAATATTAAAGGAAGCCAAAATAGTCACTGCAACATACTAACTCAGATGTGACACAACAGCTATGATCACACTGTCAGGGATTGGTTTTGCTCCAAAACTAGTAGTGTTGTTAGGGTACAAATCGCACAATGCTGGATTAAACTCACAGAACTCTTCAAGGGAGTAGAAAAAAAAGTATAGCCAGCTACAGGAACTAAAAATCACAAGCTAATATGTAAACTGGTTCGATATTCCACTAAAATTATATTTACTTGCATTATAAGAAAATTTGATTTTTTTTCATCAAGAAATGTTGAGGTCTTGAAGATGTTAAGTCTAAATAAATACAGATTCAAGGATCAAATCATAATTTCAGTATTAACATTCAATACAATAAATGGAATAAGAAATTTTGTTGTGAAATGCATAATAGTTAATTTTAGTACGAAAATTTGTATGAGAAATGTTCTAGCATATTTGTCAACATACATTTTCGAGCTTCAAATCATTATTTCTTAATATAGAACAGTTGAATAGATATAAGTTGAAAGATTAAATTCAAATGTTAAACAAAATGTTAGAAGAGGCAATAATTTTAACTCACAGGACAAAATTTAGTCAACACTAGAATTTCTCCACTAGGATCAACAGTCTGTCTAGCCGCTATGGTCTCCATTACTATTGACCTTGCCGGTAACCATGACTTTACATGAAATCGCACACTCTACAAGTGAAGAGCAGAGCTATCTCAAACAACAGATCAAAAGGTAAAACAGTCAAGAAAATTTTTAAAACCAACCACTAATTCCTAGTTCAAAAAGAAAGTGCATGAGACTCACATCTAGAAATTCACTGCCAGCAAGAGCCATGGCACGTTGAAAGGCCTCATTTTCTTTCTCAGCTGATTGATCAGGATCTGTCCAGTCCAAATTTAGCCTTCCTACTCTCGAGGATAAATGAGTATTATTCACATATTTTGGAGGCTGGTCTGTATCATATCGATTGATTCCATTGTCTATAGCATCAATTGCCTGATATAATTAAACAATAACACTATTATCATAAACTTGTACAATTAGAAACACGCTGTGTTACACTGACCATCCACTTTGGAATGACTAACTAATGCACCATTTAGCCCATACAACATTCTGCAGGCATTTATCAAATTAACCAAAGAACAAGTGATTCATATGATTGTCCCAATATATAAGCGAACCAAAGTTCTCTTACAATCAAGGAATTGGGCAATGAATATCAAATAACAAATAAAGTCTACAGCGTCAACAAACAATTGCCAGACATATACCTCCGTATCAAAAAAACAAAAACTCTTACTGAAGCCATAGAAGCTAATAAGACATTGGACCACCTATGGACCAATTATTTGGAGACAAAACATAGGACCTAGATTTAATAATCAGTGCAATTGTACTGTATGTGCAACATAAATGGATCCATGTATTTATTGACATATTCAAATCCTTAAAATTGTTGTAGGCTTCCTTATCTCTCTCAACTGAGTTCCCTAATCTAGAGGCGACTGTTCACTAATTTTTATCCTTCTGTTATTTCCAAATCTATTAGTGAGTATCATCTGTCAGGATGTTTGGCTCCTCTAAGCATCCCTGGATAAACTCTCCTCAATCCCCTTAACCCAGATTTTGCTCAATTTGAAGAACATAATATCAAAATGAACCAGTTCAGAAAGGAATTAAATCAAGTAAGTTTATACAAAAGTATGCATAATTGGAGACAGGAAAAGAGGAAAAACATAAAAAATATATTACCTCCATGAAGCTCTTGTAAACAGCCAAATATATGTGATGCACATCTTGGTGTTCCTCATCTACCTTGAGTTCTTTGGCTATAATCTCCTTTCCAAAATGCTATAGACAGAAAACACAAGTTAAATATAATTATCAAGGTGTATTCACATTTGGAATGAAATTCCCCACAAACCATTGGAAATTGTACCAAAACAGGTGAATTCACCACTATGCACATGAAGTAACATAAACAACAAGTGAAATAAAACCATGACCAAAATAGGTAGTCTAGATGAGAATTTCACCTTATAAACAAGACCAGCACTGCTCAATTTCGTGGAGAAACCATGTCCAAATACTTCTTCAAAACCTTTCTGATGATGATCATACCGATCTCGGGCAGGGTCATAGACTCCCCCAACATCAAGAACAGCATCAAGACCCTCCAACACCTAGTGATCCAAATTTTCATTTACACAAAAACTTCAAACGGATATTAAGCCAAAAACTTCCTGTCCATTCATTTGCTAAAGTCTACCTTAAAACGTACCAAAAACCAACACCCGCAACAATATAAAAACTTAACACATCTTTCCTACTAAATTTCCACTGCCCCTCCCACTATTGCTTCACTGGAAATAATTTTATATAAGGAAAACCCCCCTAACAAACCAAAACGCCAGTAACTCAAAAGGCATCACCCTTGTTCACATTTTCTAAGTAACTAAACACAAACTGTTAAAGAATCACAAAGCTGTAACCGGTGAAATTAATTTATATTGTTCTCTTATTTTACATTTATGCATTTTTTCCAATCGGCAAAAGTTTTCATTTTGGCTTCACTTTTGAGCCACTTACTGATGTTGCCAACAGGTAGTGGAGAGTTTGTTAGTCTCTCCCTTTTCTCCTTGCATTTGTAACAAACCCAAACTCGTGATATATAGCTCTGGCCAAGAAGCTGATAGGGACTTGGGTGTTATGGGGTGCCTAAATTAATCCAACATAATAGAGATGTTCCATGAGTGCTTGGTTCTTCTACCATAATAGCTAGTTGTTGAGGATGGGTTGCCTATGTACTTGGTACTTATCAATTGGTAACAGAGTTGGTTGTCAGTATCTCAGCAACCAAACAGATATTCAAATTTTCCCATTAATCAAACCTTTAACCTCACCCCAAAAAATCACATTTTCTCATCAACCAAACAAAAAAAATTATACTTTCTCAGCAACCAAGCAAGAAACAAAAACAAAAAAGTTAAGACTGAGAGATAAACCAAACCTGAGGGTCTCGGGAGCGAACGATTTCAGCGTTATTGAACTGGTGAGTGAGACGAATCATGAAGCAGCCAAGGGCCTCGTCGCAGTGAAAGCTTCCATTGTGCGTGCCCACGCGCTTCAGAGGCGCGTGAACGGGAGACCCAGAGGAGAAGGAAAGTGATGCTTGGTTCGCCATTAGAAGAAGTGGAAGAGTGTGTCTGTGGAAATGGAACTTGATGAATGGTTTTGTTGCCGCAGCCCACATAACAGTTTTTCCCTAACTTTCTTCCAACACTTTCTTCTTCAACTTCAACATAAAACCCTGCCCAATTCACTTTTAGGGTTTAACCAATTTCTTCACAAATTCTTAGCCTACTAAATCATATATTAATTTCATTTTTGTGACCGTATAAAGTAATTTTTTTGTTTTGTATTGTTGATAAAATCAAAATTTTACTTTCATAATTTATATAATAAATAACAAATATATAATATTTTATTTAAATGTGTCCTTTTTCTAAAATAGATATAATTTAAATGTGATTTGTCAAATGCTTTATTGAATATTTTTAATTAAAATTTACAAAATTAAATTTTATATTATAATTTCAGAAAAAATAAATTTATATAAATATCCGTTATTCAATATTTTTTTCTTTTATTTATTAATCATTATTTTTTCTCATAATATAGTTCATATATATATATATATATATATATATTATATATATATATATATATATATATATATATATATATATAATCTAGCAAGTTGCAAATCAAAAACAAAAATATCATTCTTTATATTCATAAGTTACACATGGTTTAAATTAAAAGTAATTTATATATATATATATATATATTTTTTTTTCTTTCTAATCTCATCAATATATATTTTAAAGATAAAATTATCATGAACTAAAACTTAATACTTTGGATATGAGAATTGATCATTATAATGCTATAATTTATAGAGTTGAAAATATGTACCTTTTGAAGATAAAATTATAGGCAAGACTTCCAAAGTGAACAACCCACTTATATGTATTTTAAGGACAAAATCTTCGAATTAAAGTTCAAAAAGGAACCATCCACAACCATATTTTAAAAACAAAATCATGACGGATAAGATTACAGTTCATAAGGAATAAGAAACCAAAACACTCTTATTTTATTTTTAAATGGAACACATCACATCCTAATTTAAAAATAAATATTCACTTTTATTATGATATTAATAAAATAACAATGATATCTTTTATTTTACTTTTTATATTTATACTAGTATGAAAATGGTATTTAAAACTAAAGTAAGAGAGACACTTAGCAATGCAGAGGTGAATTAATAGAGCCCAACGGGATTGAATGTTTTCATGGGCCTGAACTTTTTTTCTGTGACCCATCTTCGCTAACTCACTTCACATGCATAAAAAAAAAATGTGACAGAGTTCCATGGCTCAGCGTTGAAACCTTTGAGTGTTGGTGTCTAATCGGCAGACTCAACAATCTCTCCATCAACGAAACATGCCAGTCAGAGTATTGGAGAACACCGCACCTTCTCAGGTTTCAGGTAACAATAACGATGATTTCTTATACCTTGCTGCAATCTAGTTTTGGGGTATCTGAATTTACCTTTTTATTTTTTTAAAGTTTTTTGTATCATTATTACTGTTGTTGTTGTTGTCGTGGTGGTGGTCGATTTGATCAGCCCTTAATGTGTTCAGTTTTGGTTTGATTGTGTTGTGTTAGGTGCAAATTCGGGAAGGAGTTCGGGGCAATCTTGTAGTCTTCTAGGCGTGGGGCAGGTACTCATACTCTCCTTTTAGAAAAAAAAAAAATCATTTTGGTTGATGATCAAAGTAGTAAATTGGTTTGGGATTGGCAGCTAGGAAATTGGGGTTCTTTGTTTGAGGCAACATGGAATAATGCATGGTATTTTCTAATATATAATTTTTTGTTAGAATTATCATTTGGGTGTTGATCTAAGGGGTAATTGCTTGGCAACTAGAACTTACCTCTGGTGATGGAAATTTATATGGGTATCTGAGGCGTTTCATTGGATAAATCTGGTTGAGCTTGAATTGAATGTCAATGGCAATAGCAGATGTTTCTTTGTGCATTTGATGATTCCACCTATTGGAAGATTGATTTACTTTCAGCTAAGGGTGGGAAAGAAAATTACTGTAACTTCTATTACATGTTAGTCTGAGTTTATGACTTTTTTTCTTGACCTTATAAATTCATTTCAAGAAAAGGTGATAAAGATGCGATAGAGTGGATTGGAGTGAAATGACCTTACGTATCCCATATAATGTTTATTTTCTCTTCAGCTTTGTATAACTACTCGACATTTAGTGAGTGGAATTTTCTTTTATTGTATCCTAATGACCTTTCAATGACCTGAGAGATAGAGTATGTGATGTATAGTCAATTTGTGAGCAAGAAATCAGCATATAAAGTGATTTCATTTCCATGTTGCTTAATAGCAACGATTTAAAAAGCTACTTTAATATTTAACTAGCAAGGTTGTGAAGTTGTGATATATATTGTGTTTGTATAACCACAAACTTAATTTGTTTTTTGGTTTTGTATTGACAAAAGAAGAGCAACAACTAAGCCTTGTCCCAGTTGGTGGGATCAGCTAAATAAATGGATCAATCGATGTCTTAATATTTTCTTGCAAATCATTTACTGACAATTTTAATATTTTCTTGCAAATCATTTACTGACAATTTATTGACCTCTTAGTCCCTCTATTTTTTTAATGCCTCCTCATCTGTTAGATAGATTCAAGAGTTTGGACACAAACTTGAAGGTTTTATCAAAAGAATTCTACAGTTAAAGCAGAATCTGTAGTAAACAACTCTAATACAAGCTTCTTCCCTAACAAGTAGTCTAATAGGACTGAGTAAAAACAAAAATCTATAGGTGGAAAGGGTCTGCAGGTTTCTTATTGGAAAAGGAAAAGCTCAAAGTTGTAACAGGTTGTTAGTTGGTTTACTGTAATTCCTATTATAGAGGTCCTTTTCTGTTTAAAGGGGGAGTTTTTTGAATTTTCAGTTTAATGGTCTTATTCCAGTGCAAAAAGGAGAAAGCTCCTTTGGGGGTATACTCGTATACCTTGGTGCTAGGTCACTCTTAACTTTCTTTCAGCTATTAAAAACCATATTTCTTTTGCTTGTCTGGGTGTTAATTTTCCTAGTCGGAACTGTTATCACTACTCCTGTCCTGGAAAAAAAGAACCTAACAGAGTCTCCTCTTTCAAACCAACTCCAAAACTTAAATACACACAATCTCACAGAAACCTGTCACCCATCCTATTTAAGAAACACACACATATATAGCAGTCATACAACCCATGAAATGACTGTTCTACTGTTACTGAACACACAATAACTGCCATAGAAGTAAAACACATCACATAACTGCCCTATCAATGTTTTCCTTGTCCTCCCAAATGAAATGAAGTAACTGCTTTATTGCAAACTGGTTAATTGACACCATAGATTCACCAGTTGGGCAGCTTCAATTTCTCCTTTTGATAATCCATCATCACAGTCTCTCAAAATGAGAAGTAGAAGCTTTCTTTCAAGTCATCCATTGAGACGAATGAATGGCTGTCCACACTGGAAGCACCAGCTCTTTTCCATTTTGTGAACATACTCTTGGGATGCCTCATGTTTCATGCCTTCCTTCCTGATTTGGGTCCTTGTTTGGCTTGAACCTTGCTGGGACCATAATCCATGCCCCCATGACTTGAAACAACTACCTTTCTCTTACATAACACAAGATATGCTCTCCTGTTGGATCCATCTTGTTTGAGTCCTATATGATCAAAACCTTCCTCTATTTCTCCCTTGTTCTGAATGGTGGACCCTAGATACTTAAACCAAGTGACTTGTGATTAGGTATGTTCTACATTTCTAACTTTTCATTTATTTACTCTCTTGACTCTCTAACCAAAATTATATTGTCCGCAAAAAGGTTGCATCCCCTCATAATTTTCAATATTTATTGATGTTTCTTGTTATTTACTTTAGTCCATTAACAAGTGATGTTATCTAAACACTCACTGAATAAAATCCTAATCTTAAATACTGCTAAAGTTTTATTTCTGTGCTGGTTTTCTTTTCTGTTTCTTCTTAAGAAGTAAGAACTAGGAAATGGAAGATGATAAAGAAGATTCCAGAATCCATTCACAGAAATGGATAATGTATTGAAATAGTGTTCTAAAGCTGGGCTGCATGGAGTACAGTACCTATACCAGCAAGGGTGTATATGTGGAGTACAAAAAACTTTAAAATTAGGGTAAGGAATCCGGCATGTTTGTATAAATAAAAAAGATTATATAATTTTTATTCTCATAGTAACATTTTCAACCAAATTATTATATAATGAAAATATAAAAGATTTAAATGTGTTCTGCAATAGTATACTTCATTAACCCTTTTACAGATGTATAAAGAAATACTTTTTCAATGAACCCCAAACCAATACTATAAGAAGAACACTTACAGCCTGTGACTGGAACAAAGGAATTAGTGAATAGTTTCATGGTCTACAACTCTGCATTGCAGTCCAGTAGAGACTTCTCACTTTCAATATTCAATAAGGATTACATTTATATCGCCATACTGTATGTATGCCTGTATCTATGTTTACAGTTTTGTTGCATCCACACTTCATAGTCATAGAGAACACAGCTTTAACTTTCTACTCAATTAGATTTCACATCTATATCTTACTATAAGTACAGATTTCCGAGTTATAGCATATACTCAAGGTGTTTGTATTTTCAGGCCTTTTCTGGCACCCAGAATGTTTCCAGTGTACAAAAGGATGAAGCATGGAGAGTAAATGTCCGGATACAAGGATGTGACCTTGAGCATGGGTATTTGTGCGGCACCATGGAAGCCCTTAACGTTCCTATGGCAGATACACCAGTAAGAAATTTGTTTATTGTTTCTCTTAAAAGTGCCACTTTTCTCTTTATAGAAAATATGCATGTTGAATTTTTTGGTAGTTTAATTTGAACTGTTTGTTGTGTTAAACTGTAAATCACTGTTTTGTTGTGAATTGAATTTATATATTTAGAGTAGCACTTATCTGTAATTCATTTTCTTTTTCAGAATAACCAATCTGTTCACATAAATGCATAAATGATGTTGGTTCAGCTTCCATTTAGTGGCATGCAGTGTTTTGTTAAATAAAGTTATTACCTGGCAATTCTTCGTAGCTTTTTTGCATTAATGATCAATCTTCCTATTTTATATTGCTGCAGTGACCAATGTGATCCGGCCAGAAATAAGTTTCTATTTGTTTCATTACATGTTTGGTAGGATTTAACTTAGATGCAATTTTAAACAAAGGCTTGATGCAGACCCTTAAAATGGGCCTTGAAACTTTGGATCTTCCAAGTTAGGTTCAAGAATCAAGATCAAACAAGTAGTGAAAGATTTCTCTCCATATTGGTTTCCTTAGAATCATATGAGGATGAGATTCAACCAATTGTATCATAGAAATCTCAAGAAAAATCCAAGCAGCTTGTGACCTAAAGTTGGGTACATATAAAAGAAATAGTAAAATAACATGCTTATTTTAACATTTATAAAAATACTAAAAATTGAAAAAGTCATATTTTTACAAGAAAAAGGAGAATTTCCTATTCTAGTCATGTTACTAGCTTTCATGAGCTCCTCCTAACCTCTTTACCATTTCATTGTATTTGTCATATTTATTGTGTTCTTTCCTTTGTATGTGTCATGCTCTTCTTGGATTTTTTTTTCCCTTCTCTTTAACATTAGCTCCAGCTCTTGTAGTGCCTCCTTGAATGACTTCTTCCTCATCCATGTCCCCATCAAGAATACTTTGGAAATATACTTTTCCTTTTTAAAAATACTCTTGAATGGTGTCTATATTACATAAATCAACTAATTTTTCACTTTTCAGTTTTTTCTTTATATTCCCATGTGTTTTCCGAGAGGTATTGTTTAGAAAGAAAGGAAAATCAACCATGACATTCACTTTATCATTTAATGATTTGTATCAGGTAGTAACATTCTGGGAAGGGGAGATTGTTGATACAAAGAATTATACTTTCTTCACTGGAAAATGGGAGGCAACGTAAGTTATTATGCAATCAACTCTTGAATCAAGCATGGGGATTAATTTAAACAATACTAATGATGACCATGCATTAGTCTGTACATACACTCTCGACGTTTTGATTAACTTTTTTTTTTGTTATATTTTTTTCAGACCAGAGGATGATATAAGGCACTGGTCTAAATTTCCATCTTTTTCTCCCTTATTGGTAACAATTTAGATTTTGACGTTACGTGTGAGATGCATCATATGCACTGTTTCTAATGCACTTTGACTTTCTAGGTCCAAGTAGAGGTTGATGGTGGCAAGTCTTTGGACCTGAGCAACTACCCTTACATATTCATGGTAGATTGATTTCACCAACAGAAAATGACAATGTTGAAAAAAGTTATCTATCAGAAATGAGAACCTTTACAGATTGCACACTAAATTATTTGTTGCAGAGATGGAAGGAGCAGTACTTTGTGAACGTTGGAACTGACTGTGGATTAACTATAGCCGGATTTTACTACATTTGTTTCTCTTGCAGTGATGGATCTATCAGTGGATTCTATTATGATCCCAATAGCAGGTGCTCTTCTCTTCTGTTTCCAATTGGGTTATTGTGCTCCCAGTTTTCAACCTGAACTTAAACAAACTTGTTAGTCTTATGCATGTGCTTATCATATCGATTAGAATTTTTCATTACGTCAATCTTTTATTGTATCCTTACATAGTTTTTCACATGAAACTCGTGGACCCTTTGCAGCCCTTACCAGAAGCTAGAGTTGAAATCCACGAATGATGGAAGATCAGGTTTCAGTTTTTCATCATATGAGTTACAATAGTTGCAATAGATTGTGAGACGTATAATATGTCAAGATTCATCATTAATTGTCAGTATTGTATATGAGGGGGACCATGTGGAAAATTCAAGTTTATTGTTGTTAGAACCAGTATTCTATAAGCCCCTATTTTATGTTATGATCACTTACCGGTGACCTCAGGGTTGATTATGACTAATTGGTTTTTTCTAGTTTCAAGCCTTATACATATATGCATCTTGTACAGTGTTTGTTTTATGCTAATTGAACTTCCTCATGTTGAATGTGAATCTTCCTCTCACATTGGATTCTCGTTCAACACTTGGAGAACGGGAATGCAAACACTCCTTGTAAATAGTAGCTTATTATGGCTAATAAAACGTTTTGCACACATGACGATGATGATGAGCTTAGTGACTTTTGTTCATAATTACTCACAGGGAAAGTGCCTAGTATAAACAATTTAAACGTGAACACTTATTTAAAACAACTCATTAACAATTTAATACTCTCTCATACACTGTTTTCTCTTTTGCACTTTTTTAGGTGTCAATTAGAATGGAATTTTCCATCGAACTTTACTTGAACAAAAAAGTATGCAAAAAGTGTAAGCATTCAACTTTATTGTGAACAATTGGTGGATATACATCCTAAATCCTGGCTTACTCTGACATTATTAAAATTTTGAAGGAAAATACTAACTGATAGAAAACGTTTTTTGGCAAAACTCCTCTTCTTTTGTATTTTTATCAAATATTGTTTAACATTTGTCTATTTTTAATTAACATTGTCAATACATGTTACTTCATAAATAATGAAAGCACTGATGTTTTTTAAAACAAGAATAATGTCTACTAATTTGAAATAAAACTTTGTCAGTAACTGTCTTTAAATAGTAAATTAAGAAAAAAACATCAAACCTTTTGGATCTCTTCCATGAATTATATAGCTCATGTAAATATTTTTTCAAACATTCATACATAAAAAATACAATTTTTAAAAATATAAAAATCAGACATAATTTACAAGTTAGTAAGTACCCTATCTCTCTTTCTTCTTACAGGAATCAAATAATTATTTGATATAATTATTCATTTAGTCCTTGTACAACTTTTATTTTTCATATTTAGAACTAAATATGCAAACTAAATTATTTATAACTGAGAAATTAAACCTAATTATTTTAATCCATAAAAGTCTCAACTCAAGTATGTAAATGAAGATTTTCATAAAGAAAGAACTTAAACAAAAGTAAAATTAGGACATTTTTATTCAGAAAATCAGCTACTTTAGTAGTAATTCATTTACCGTATACACTACGCATGAGAGAGACAAGTGAACATTTATGCGCACATGCACATGCACAAGGACAACATCCTCCTCGTGCGATCACGCACCCTATTAGGGTTAGGGTCACAAATTAACACGAAACACACTCTTGCATTTACCCCATTTCATAAGGGACGTGTCCTTCGTTTTATTTCCCTCTTTAACTTCTCCTTGCCACTTTGTACCATCCCTAACTACCCCATCATCATCATCATCTCCAATCTTTCATATAAATAATAACTTATGATAGTGTAACTTCTATCCCACCACCATTCATAGTACTATTAATGGTACCTATCACTCAACTTCACTTTCACTCACAAGAACCAAGTTAGCCATAGAGAGGACCATCATGTTACACTCCAATGATAATCACAACAACCCTTCTTGTGTTTAGTCTAGTTTTTCACTAGAAAAGAACATTCAACATGTATATTTATAGCATGTTCGGTTTCATTTCATTTTTTGTCAAAATCAATTCAGATTTACAACTTTAAAGCAGAGCAACATAGTTGCTTGCAATTTTTCATGGTGTCGCTATGATTTTGGGTCCTTCTCTCTGACTATTCAAACACGTTACACACTATTACTAAGGGTCACACACTAGTGTTCTTAGGTTTCAATTCATGATTTATGAATGCATGGACAATTTGCTATGTGATGAGGTCTGGTTTTCGGGTTCTGAAAATACCTTTGAAGAAGTTGGTGACTTTGTTGCATTCAAGAGTTATGAAAACAAGGAATTTGAAGAGGCTTTTACACTGTATCTAGAGAAGGAGGTTTCTTCTTTGCCTGAACAAGACTATACACACTACTTACACTCCAACAATTTGTTTGTTCCTAGGTGTAAAGTTATTCAATGGCTTATCAAGGTCAGTATTTTCTTTTGGAGTACTCTTTTGGGAAGATTTTTTATATATAAATCCTGATTAGATCAATTTCTCTGCAAACATGATAATATTATCTTTTTTGTTTTTACAATATTCTTTGAAGTGACATTTTTTGTCATTTGTGTAGGTAGGACATGGAAATGATTTCTCAGACTATAAAATATCTTCACCCTGTACTTTTCTATTTTCCATTTATGTTGAACACAGTGTGAAAGTACATCGCTATTCTCATAAACTTTTCCTCCATGTTTATGCAGTGTGGAAGTCACTTTAATCTTTCCTTTGGGACAGTTTTCTTGGCTGTGAATTATCTTGATCGCTTTGTATCCATTTGTCAATGCAATGTAAGGATTATTGACTATCAATATTGATCACTTTGCAACATTTGTCAGATTTTCAATATTTCTGAGAAGAGTTAATAAGCATCAATTACTTGTACCAGGCTTGGAAATACTGGATGTTTGAATTGCTTTCTATTGCTTGTTTATCAATTGCCATAAAGTTCAATGAGATCTCAGCACTTTCCTTGCATGAAATTCAGGTGATTAATTATCATTACACCAATCATTTTATGTTACATTTCTTTAAATGTTAGAAAGTGATAGAATGAATAGATTTAGCTCTGTATTTTATTACTATGTTACCATTTTAAGATTTTTTCAATTTTTTTGTAAAAATTTTTTTGTAACTAAAAATTCTTCTGTAAGTAGAAAAAGGTCTCCCAGTAGTTTCACATAGTTATAACTAAAAATTCTTTTGTTAAGTATCAAAAGGTCTACTTAAAGTTGTCACCAAGTTGAAGAACTGAAGTTAATGAAATTGTTTATGTTAAATATAGTAAGTTGTATACCTAATAATAACATTATATATGAATACTGACAAAGAAAACAAGTGTTGTGACTTTGTCTTGAAGGTGGAGGGTTTGGACTACTCATTCCAATCAAATGTAATTTTGAAAATGGAGCTGATCCTATTGAAGGCATTGGGGTGGCATCTTAACTCTGTGACAAGTTTTGCTTTTGTGGAGATGCTAGATGTTGATTTCTTGGAATCTCATCTTTATGAGAAGCTTATTTCATCAGTCACTGAACTCCTTCTCCAAGCTACTTTAGGTAAGTCTGCAAAACATGATATTCTTATTGTGCAAAAATATCAACATTTTACTAACTTGTAATCAAAACTGTATATGTTGCAGATCAGAAAATGCTGGAGTTCAGACCAAGCATTGTTGGCATATCTGCATTGTGGTGCACTCTAGACCACTTATTTCCACCAGCATCAGATACTTTCATAGCTTATATTCTGAGACTCTTGAGCCAAACTCAGAAGGTGAAAATCAAAAGGGTATTTGTATTTATGCTTCAATTTGTACTTTTGTAATATATACACTTTCATATTTCTTCATGGTCTTTCTGTTTTTGCAGGAGGATATCATCAAGTGTCATGAGTTGATGCAAACACAAACTTCATTGTGCTGTGAAAATCACCACCACTGCCCTTTAAGCCCAACAACAGTACTGTTATGATGGCTAAACCAATGACTTCATCTTTATTTCTCATTTTCAAACACATCATTAACATGGCTAGAAGAGTTAGCTATTCAATTTTATGAGATTTTAATGATCATAAGTGTACTAAATTAATCATGACTTTATGACTTTTAAGCCATTTTAAATTAATAAATTTATTATATATAACCATTTTCTGATCTGTAAAAAAATTCATACTACCTATGCACATTTTCTTCCTTTTCTCTTTAAATTATCATGTTTCTGAGGTTATGTTTGGTTCAGAAAAAAAATGTTTCGAATATTTGTGACCTTTTTACTTCCTGTAATCAAAACATGTTACCTTGGACAGAGATCAACATGATGAAAAGCTTCAATATAAGAACGAAAATAATCTTTATTTAGTAACAAGATGAATGCGTATTGCAACTTTTTGGTTCCAACTTTTCCGTACATATTATGAATAAAAATATAGGAAAAATAAATAAATTAGCTAGGCAAAAGTTAATTTATAGAAAATTTTAATCATAATTTTTCTAAGGAGATATGCAAACAATCTAATTTTTCTCAATATTGATCCTACAATTCATATTTAATAATATAATAATAATAAACATAAAAAAATTTAAAATTTTATTAATATTAATAAACAGTTTTATTAAATGATTGATTTGTTGAAAAAGGTTTTCAACATATTCTTTTCTAAATTGTTATTTGAAATAATGTATAATTTAATTTTAACCTTACAAATATAATATATATATATATATATTTATTATTTTTTTTTTCTAAAATCCATAAAGAGATCCATTATATTTATTTGGTTATAGTATTTTCATTTTTCTTTTGAGAAAATATTAACTTTATTTATATAATTATTTTCAATTGTTCACATGTTCTTATTGAAGGCTTATTAATAAAATAGTGCTAGATGATTTTCATTTTAGACCATGAATTAATGTTTATAGCGTTTCTTAAACAAGCAAAACCAAGAATATAATAGCTGTGGTCATACATGTAAAGTTCCATATATATACCATAAATGCAGAATCTCAGTGTAAAAGTTTCACAAACGATAACAAATCTAATAAATACAAATAAGAAATAAATAAATATATTAGAATTTTCCACTTCGAATATAATTCATAATAAAAATTAACTTTTATTGATTCTTTATAATATTTCAAATCAGAAATATAATGATATATTTAATTTGTGTCAAAGTCTCTAATTATAATTAGATATTAAAATAATAATCACTACAACATTATCAATCTTAGTTCAACTATTACAAAACGTTTTAATAAACTCTAATTAACTTATTATTAATTCTATCTAACAAATTCCTCTTATTATTAGTTTTACCTAACAAATCCCCCCTATTATTAATTTTACCTAACAAATCTCCCCAGTAAAATTAATCTCCGCATTAAAGAAAACTTAAGATCAACATTATTTCGACTTTCCAATTTTCGACTCTCATCTAATCGACTACATGTCTTCTTCTTTCTGAGCACTCAAAGTTCTTTCCATCCTTTATTTCAATTAGTCTCTTACAGTTCTCGAATAATATACAAGAAATGACTTCGTGAAAATATTAACAACTTGATCTCTACTCGCCACATGTACAAGCTTCACATTTCCTTCCTTTACATATTCTCAGATGAAGTGAAACCGTATATCAATGTATTTACTCCTCTCATGATTGTTTGGATTCTTCTTTAGTTTAATAGTCGATTCGTTATCAACTCGGATTACGGTTGCACTGAGTTGCTTCTCCTCTATCGAGCTTAGTAAATTTCTGAGTCCACTACATGACACACACACACACCATGATGCTGCTATGTACTCGGCTTCACACGTTGATAATAGTATTATAGGTTGCTTCTTCGAAAGCCAGGTAAACTTTGTGTCACTCATGAAGAATAAATATCATGATGTACTTTTCAGATCATGCCTGAGTACCCAATAAGTCAGTAATTGTCCAACCTTGTGTACCACATTATGAGGCAAGGAACCTCGGATATACTTCAAAATTATCTTCATTGTTTTCCAATGAGAGTAGTTCAGATTTTTCATGAACCGACTAACAATCCCAACACTCAACAACAAATTGAGTCTGATACTTGTGAGGTAACGAAGACTTCCAATTAAGTTCCAATATCTACTCGAATCAACTCGGTCTCCTCTATCAAATTTTGAAAGCTTCATCCCTGGCTCCATGGGGTTGATACTGAATTGCAATTGGTCATCTTAAACTTGTTCATGATATCCTTTTTATATGCTTCTTGGGACACAAATATTCTCGACTCCTCTTGACTTACTTCCAAGCCAAGAAAAAAACTTCATCATACCAAAATTGGTCATCTCAAATTTAATTGTCATTGCACACTTGAATTCTAGAGTTGTTCCAGGATTATTTCCCATAAAAATGAGATCATCGATATATAATACGACAAACATCACATTACCTCCATTCTTCTTCACATACAAAGCATGTTTATACGAACATTATATAAACTGATTCTCCTTGAAGTAAGTATCTATTCAATTGTTCCATGCTCGATGAGTTTGCTTTAGCCTGTAAAGAGTCTTCTCTAGTCTCAATATTTTCTCCTCCTCGTCTTTCTTCACTTATCCTAGTGGTTGTTCAATATACATCTCCTCCTTGAGTACACCATTCAAGAATGTCGACTTGACATTCATATGTAAGATCGATTATTTGTTCTGTGTTGCTAAAGAGTTCAGTAGCCGAAAAGTCTCCATCCTCACTACTAGGGAAAATACCATGTCATAGTCAATGCCTTCTTTTTGCTTGTACCTTTTCGCAACCAATCAAGCTTTGTATCTCTCCACCTGATGTGGACATAAAGGCCCAAACTCATAACGAGAAGGATCAAGATCAAGATCCAATCCAAGACTTAGGTGGACCTATGACAAGAGGCATTGCAACACAAAGTGACCAATTTGCTAAAGGCCCAACTATTAAAAGCTCTAAACATGGAGGAGTCTAGCCCTATCACATGCATAAAATGTTTGGAGAGCTAGGAAGCCCCAACATAAAGATTTAATTATTATTTTTATTATTATTTGCTACAGTGGGAATTTGAACCCAAGACCCAAAACTTATAATGTCTTCACTGAACAATCTGGGCAACTTAACTTTGTTTGGGATATTAGGATTTTAATTTATCTTTATTTCCTGCAATGAAACAAACTCATAAACTTAAGTTGTATTAAACATTTGGAAATTTAGAATGAACGTACGAATATTTAGAATCACTTTGTGAGTTGTTGCTCTACTAGAGTTCTTCCTTACATCATCTTATCAAGAATTATCCAATTCTTATGGCGATTCTTCTTGGCTTATCAAATATTCTTATTTGTAGCGCCTACGGTATCCTTTATGTTTTTCTGTTTTCTATTTTCAATCAAATCAACTCTTAAAACCTAACCCTAATTTGTTTCCCTTTTATTCGAGTGTCGTCATTTGGTATCAGAGCAAGGTTCAAAAGCGGTACTGTTCATCATACTGTTTAGCGGTACTGTTCATCACACTGTTCATTGTCAATGTTCACGTGTACTGTTCATTGTCACTATTCACGTGTACTGTTCATTTTCATTGTTCACGTGTACTGTTAAAAAAAAAACCCTGTTGTTTATGCAATTTTGATATTGAATTTCATTTAGATAAATATATCAAAGTTGTGTTTGAAATTAGTTTTCTGCAGAAAAAAATCAAAAAAAGAAAAGAATAAAAAAAAAGAATCAAAAGAAAAAAAGAATCAGAAAAGAAAAAAATGTGTGTGTGTGTGTGTGTGTGTGTGTGGGGTGGGTGTGTGTGTGTGTGCGCGTGTGCGTGTGTGCGTGTGCGTGTGTGCGTGTGTGCGTGTGCGCGTCTGCGTGTGTGCGTGTGCGTGTGCGTGTGCGTGTGCGTGTGTGCGTGTGTGTGTGTGTGTGTATGTGTTCGTGTGCGTGTGTGCGCGCGCACGTGCGCGTGTGTGCGTGTGTGCGTGTGTGTGTGTGTGTGTGTGTGTGTGTGTGTGTTGTTAGTAGTAAAATTGTTCTTTGCTACTTGTACTTTGTTGGTACTATAATTCTGTTTTATTCCTTGTGATTGCTACAGTTGAAAGTAATTCTTGAATTATAGATTGTTTGATTCTTGTAAGAACCATAAGTCAGAGAATGAGTGGAAAAAGGCAAGAGTACATATCATACAAAAGCCAAATTGAGAGTAAACACGAGTAGTACATCTTTGAGTGCAAACACGTGAGAAGAGTGGTGGTGTCCTATTACTTCATTTGTTTGGTCCTTTCTTTTTTTTACTTGAAAGATGACAGGTAAAGGTGGTGGTGGTACCCCTCCTTTGGGGATGACAATAAATTATTGATTGATGCCATTACAGCCCAAATGCAAAGAATGTTGACAGAACATATTGAGGAGTTGTATGGGAGAATTGAACAACTAGAAAATCAAGAAAATGATGATGATGGTGGAGGTAGAAGGAGGATAAGGAGAAATAATAAAGGTGATGTTAGAGATAACAGAATTGAAGGAGTAAAGCTGAACATACCCTCTTTTCAAGGAAAGAGTGATCCAAAAGTATATTTGAAGTGGGAAATAAAAATTGAGCAACTGTTTGCATGCCATAATTACACAGAAGATAAAAAGATGAGGGTGGCAGCCATAAAATTCACTGATTATGCTCTCATTTGGTGGAACCAAATACAAAGGGAAAGAGTGAGATATAAAGAACCCTTGGTGGAAAGTTGGGAAGAAATGAAGAGGTTGATGAGAAGAAGATTTGTTCCTTCTCATTATCAAAGAGATCTTTACAATAAGCTCCAAAGACTCATACAAGGTAGTAGAGGCGTTGATGAATATTATAAAGAGATGGAAGTTTCCATGATTAGGGCTAATGTTATGGAGGCAAGAGATGCTACTATGGCCCGATTCCTACATGGGCTAAATAGTGATATAAGAGATGTTGTGGAGTTGCAAAATTATGTTGATTTGGA